TAGGATCCAAGGAGGCCCCACAGTGACATAAGAATTGTTTTTAAAACCTATCTCTGGGTAAAAAAAGAAGCACCGCTCCTCCATGGCTCAGGAAAGGATTGAGGAGCTTGCCACTTGTAGCACGTTCTCACTCCAATATTAGCCCATACAATATGAGCCTATACAAACAGAAGAAAAGCTGGCCACACACCTGATTCTGCTGGAATCTGCCGTGTGCGGCTCGCTTTTCTTCTGTTTGTATAGTGTCTAAAGATAACTTGTCTTTGCTACTCAAAGATGCTCAAATCATATTTAAAAAGTCAAATAAATATGAATATTTGCAACCAGTAAATGGAAGAGGTTTGGTGGGTGGTGTTTTCCCTTTACGGGTGCTGGTGTGTATGCACCTCCTCCTGAAATTTGGCCTAACCATTAGAATATGACACACAATGTATTTTATTTATATAAATTTATGGCCACAGTAAGCACCATTCCATCAAAATCTGGCCTTTTCACCCAAGCTACTGTTGGTAATTAAACAGTTCTTGCATAGATTAAGTTCAGGTTATAAAGTTTCTGAAAGTGTCATGTGCAGATCAAGTTTTTAATTTTCTAATGCTGCCCATGTTTTAAAAGGTGTCTTCTTTATGTGCAAATATCATCTTCTCATAATTGTTTTAACACTTAATTCTAGGTTACATATAATAAGGTCATTCTGCAGATGCACAACATTCTCTTATGTGCTGGTATTCGGTACCATTAATTGAATGGCCTCCAGAAATTCTTTAATAAAAGTTCTTAACCTGGACAATAAGACTTGCACTTGACATTGTGCTGGATCCAGTAAAATCACACCTACAAAGCCATCAAGCTGCTTGTCAAAGTTTTTTGAGTCGGGACCCACGCATGTGCAGTACACTCTCCATTCAGTCCTATGATGTGTTTGTACCCTGCTGGAGTATCAAGTACAAACCCTCTATAGGATTGTATGGACAGTGGGGTTCCAGATCAAAATGCTTTGACAATCATCTCAGTGCCTTTGTGAGTGATATCTTACTGAACTGAAAACAGGTAAGTATGCTTTTTTTATACAAAAACCTTGTACAGGTTCTCCCACTTCCCTACTATCTATTATATTCAAATACAGACCTTAAATGTAATGCAGACCCTTTACACTGACTGACTCCCCATTCTTCTTTACAGAGTTTGTAGGCACACCTATGAACAGTAAATACTGCCTGGCCCAGGGGTTTGATGGGCAGTGTAACGTTGGTCTGTGCTGCAGCTGAGGTTTGTCTTTTGTTATAACTCTTGTATTTTAAATTGCATACAAAGATCAAGGGCAATGGTAGGGAAAATAGACACAGAACTTGGTTCTTCCAATGCTGAATTCTATAGTTTATTTTGGAAGTATTATATTACCACCACCCCCCTACCCCGCCCCCGCCGTGTTTCCCGGGCTCCGCTGCCCCTCCTTTGGGCCTGGGACTGGCATGTCGGGGAAGCTGGGGAGGAGAGCAGAGAATATACATTTGCCTTTCTCCTCCCCGGTTTATGGGATCGTGAGCAACGCAAATTGCGTCACTGCCGGTCCTTGAGCTGTCATTGCTTCGCACCTGAAGCTGAGCAATAAGCTATTGAAGCGCAATCTGCACTTCAATAGCTTATTTGAAGTGGAAAGTTGACAATAGGGGTCTTTTGGACCCCCAGTATCATCTTAAAGAGTACCTGTCACCACCCACCAATATGGTATCACACAGGGGGCTTCTAACCTGGGCATATTGGGTATCTATTTACTTATCGTAACCTCATCTTTTATATTTCCCACGAGAAAATTGGTATTTTATTGTGTTTTGGGGCACTAAAATTAACTTAAGTGATTTTTCACAACATTTTTGGGTTTGATAAAAAGTTGCGCCAATAATGTGCAACACAAAAATTTGCAACTGCCACAATTTTATTCTACAGGATGTTGGCTTTCAGAAAATATATAATGTTTTGGGTGTTTGCAATAATTTTCAGGCCTAAAATGTGAATTATATCATGTGTGCAAAAAACAAAAAAAAGGCCTTTGTTAAAGTAGAACTATGAGGTGAGTGATTTACAGTTCGAGCTGACGTGTGACAATGAAACTGTCACACGTCGGCTCAATAGATCGGGAAGTGAGCAAACGCATACCATCGGTCGCTCATTTCTCGATCATCTCCCTGCAGTGAGCGGTGACTATCACTCACCGCTCCCCGCAAAAATTCCCCCCCACCCTCTCCGATCCTCCAGCGCTGACTGGAGGAACGGATGGGGAGGAAGAGGGTACAGCTGCCTGTCTCTAGACGGGCAGAGCCAACTGTCACTCACGCAGCTGGGTGGATCTCGACAGTAATGTCGGGAGCCGTCCCAGCTGCAGCGGTCTCAGTATACTGCAGGCTGTAGCTCGCGATATACTGAGCTTTGAGTCACGGGAGAACGCTAGTATATGTCCTCCCGTGACCCTAAAGAGAACTATGGGGAAAACCACTTACCTCATAGTTCTCTTTTAATTTTTTAAAAATCTTTACCTATTAATATGCAAAAGAAGTTCTTGAGCTCAAGTTTAGAACTGTGTCTAGAGTCTCTTAGTGTGTGTCTAAAGGTGCCCCTAATCCTTGCGATTATCGTTCGGAAGTCGTCCACGAATGGTCTTTTGAATGATACTCAATCAATTGATGGGAACCCAACAATTTTTTTTTACTGTACTCTTGGCCAAATTTCCTCCATCAATAAGGCTGGAAAAAGTTTTTTCGAATCGTACGAAAATCGATGGATTAGTGGACTCTTCGTACGAACAAATCACAACATGAACACCGAACATGCGCAAATGTAAATCTGTTCTGTCGATCGTCAAAATTTGGTCAGTTAGTATTGCTAACGAACTATAATCGAAATCGACATTAGTCTGTTCATGATGGAGTAGTTGAGCAGAAATCGAACGACGGTTTGATGGGGGCACGAAAGAAATGTAAACAATCGCAAGGTGTATGGCCAGCTTTAGAGGAGAAATCTTGGAGAAAAACATAATTAGTCAGCTGCAGGCATGAGAAAAAAGTAGCTGAGTCTACTTCATTGGACACTCATAACTTTGTTGCTGGGAGGTGGGAGGCAGCAGCAGGCAACAGCAGGAGGCTGATCTGTGTGTGACAAGAGTACTCAGCAAATACATAAAGACTTCTCAAGTGCAGGGATTTACATAACTGTGCCATCTATTGGTCAGCAGCTTATTCCAGAAAGTATATTCTGAACCTGGATGATGACTGAACAAAGATAGCACAAGCCTTCAAAATGAAGACATTGCCCTGAGTACTGTAATCTCTATGACAGGTACTAAATACCTGCAAATAGTACATTCATACGTTGCTGAATATACATGCACTTAATGTATAAATAGGGGCCACTTTCAAGGACTAGTACACCCAAAAGTGATCATTCTAGGGCCATTAATCACTGATAACACTAAACTGATGAGCAGTAAAAGCTTTTGGCCTATGGCCAATTTTGGATATGGTAGCTTTTTGCGATTTTGCGGGCAAGCGCAATTTTAAAGCTTCACATGTTTGGTGTCTATTTACCTGATGTGACCCCGTCTTTTATATTTTACCAAAAAATTGGGTAATAATAAATGTTTTATAACATTACGGAGGAAAACTGTTTTTTGTTTTTTTCCCCCCACAATTTTTGGTTCTTTTTTCATTATATAGTAAAAAATAAAAACTCCAGTAGTGATTAAATACCACCAAAAGAAAGCTCTATGTGCCCCCATAAAATGGTATAAAATTCATTTCAGTACAGCGTTGCATGACGGAATAAACGTCAGTCAAAGTACCGCAGCGCTGAATATTGAAAAATGGCCAGGAAGGGGGTATAAACACCGCGGTCAGCAAGTGGTTAAGGATAAGTTAAGGTACATAAGATAGGTTGAGTCAACCCCATAGCTTCTTACAGTAAATATTTCTTGGATATTCTAACAGATATCTCCCTGCCATAATTTCTGACTTTATTCTTGTCCGTCTAGGAGTTTTGATTATTGCTACACGGCTTGTGTTTAAGCATTCTCTAAATAAATAAAAAACCTAGCAGGGGTGTTAGAACCCCTTTTAATGGCTATAGCAGGTGTGCAGACCTGAGAACTCAAGCTCAGGGATCTCAATAGGATACTGTAGAGCCTTGGTTCTCAACTGGTGGGTCGTGACCCAAAAGTGGGTCGCGACCCAGTGTTCAGTGGGTCGCCGCATGCCTTCCACTTTTCTAGGTGAGAGGCTCCTCAGCCTCCCCCCTAGCGCAGCACTGTCAGTTCTCACACCAAGCAGCTATTCAAAATATGCTGTCCGGTGCCAAGTTTCAGCTTGAGGTGGGCTGAGGGGTATGGCCGCGAGGGAGCTCCATCCATATGTGCATTGCTTACAGCTCCCTCACGTGTCTTATAGAGGTGCCTGGACCGGAGTGACGTCACATTCTGGCTCTCGGCACCTCTACAGGGCATGCAAGGGAGCTGTACAAGCAATGCACATATGGAAGGAGCTCCATCACAGCACAGCAGCCCACACTGGACCCCAGGCTGAATATCCACTCCAATTCTCGTGCATGCCATTGCAGTGCGACTTGGGTCGCGACTGAATGGCCAAGGACAAATGCGGGTCCTGAGGTTACACAGGTTTACAACCACTGCTGTAGAGGATACTGTAGAGCAGTGGTGGCGAACCTTGGCACTCCAGCTGTGCCAAAACTACATATCCCAACATGCATCTGCCTCTGGGAGTTATGTCTGTGGCTGTCAGAGCCTTGTAATGCCTCATGGGACTTGTAGTTCCAAAACAGCTGGAGTGCCAAGGTTCGCCATCACTGCTGTAGAGGAAACTATCAGGTGGCTTAACTTTCTATATTCCAGCATACACTAGACTGACCCTTCAATGGCATGGGAGTATAGCTCAACTAATATGGTGAGGTGGGACTTCATCAGTCTCGGAGTTGGAGTTTGAAACCCTTCCAAAATACCCTAGAACCATCAAGTGCAAAGAAACAAGGGCAATATCTACCTTCCCCACCAACCTCCTTGCAGCATATCATTTTTCTCCAGCACTACAATTTAATGCCAGAGCTTGGTATAGGAAAAACTAGCTTCATTCGAAGAGTGTAAGCTGGCTGAGGCATTTGCTTCAATACGGTTCCGCTCTTCAAATGCTCCTTCTCACTGACTTCTTTGTTGACTTTTGTTAGAATGGACAAAATATCTTCACCCCTGTAAATAAATGGTTCAGAGACTATTGTCATTCATAGGAGACAAAAATTGTAATATTGATACATAATAAAGAATAGACAAGGCTCTGTTTACTGACCCCAGTATGCACTAATAGAGACCATACACCAGCCATAGTGGTCAGGATACATTTGTCAGACAGGTACAGGGAAGGATGTTAATTCTATGTTTTTGATATTTTGGCTGCATGATGATTTACAGAATTCAATCCTTCTTTAGTAGCAGTGATGGGCTAGTTTAGGTCAGCAGCTTATTTCTTGATACCATCAAATGGCATAACTGGAAGCCATATGTTATATTTCATTGGGATTGTGTTTTTCCTTTAATAAAAAATCACCACCCTGTGCTGAACACAACATTGTTTTTCCTAGTTCACTTAAAAGGAGAATTATGAGGTGAGTGATTTTCACTCAGCCTCATAATCTGAGCCGACCTGTGACAATGAGACTGTCACAGGTCGGCTCAGTAGATCGGGAAGTGAGGGAACACATACCGGCGCTCACTCACTTCTCAATCCTGTGGCGGCAGAGGGCCGTGACAGGGGAGGGACTGGATTCCCCCCTCCCCTGTCCGATCCTCTAGTGCTGACTGGCAGAATGGACGGGGGAGGGGGCGGGTACAGAGGCAGAGCCAGCTGTCACTCACGCAGCTGGGTGGATCCAGACATAATTGTCGGGATCCGTTCCGGCTTCGGCATACAGCAAACTTGGTCTGGGCCCCCCCCACACGTGGTACGGTCCGGTACGGTCCCTTTACCCTGTTCCCGGCTCCACACACGCCGCACGCTTCATGCCTTACACCGCACCGCCTCCTCACCTGACACCGCTCTGAGCTCTCTCCCGTCGCTTTCCGCCGCCAAAACGATAACGTCGTTGCAGGAAGACTGCAGCGTGGGTGAACGAAGATCTCGTGGAAGAAAGTAACGTTGCTTGCAGGTAAGACATACCACTCGGCTGTAGATCCCTAAATCATCTCTGAATTGGTGCTGGCACTGTCCTTCCTTCTGGAGGGTGGCTACTTTTGTTCCCCATGGTTCCTGTGTGTGTTGTAAAGTAGCCACTGCTCCAAACTCATTCCCGTGATGGACTACAGTCTCAATACAAATTAGTATTCCATCACTGGAGCCCCTTTTTTAAAAACAATTTTTATCCGATTAATCGAACTTAATAGTCGGCTAACTAATCGATTTCAAAATAATCATTAGCTGCAGCCCTACTTACTTGTACTTGTGGAACTAGGCTAGTGACTAGACAGAGAAGGAGATTTATCAAAACTGGAGCAGACAAAATCTGGAGCAGCTGTGCCTGGCAACCAATCAGCTTCACTCATTCATTTTCAAATCTTAACTGAACAAACTGAAGAGAGAAGCTGATTGGTTGCCGTGCACAGCTGCTCCAGTTTTTGTCTGTTTTTTTTAATGGTTTTAGTTTGAAATGTACCTGGTGTCCTTCACTAAGGGCTGTACTTGGGTTGTGTGCAGGTAAGAGGAGCTGGGAGGGAGGTGGATGCAGCCCTGACCAGCCCACCTGAAACCCCTTCAGAGCCCACTATAGACAGTCTCATGAATGGCATCAGGGGATGCCCGCAGGGGATCGCAAGGCACTTTGTGCCTGCAGTGCGTTCGGGTGCGGTGCGATCAAAATAGTGCAGCATTTTCATCGCACCGCGCCCGAAAGCACTGCAGCTACCATGTGCCTTATGTTCCCGTGCTGGTGATCGCATTACAGCCGCAGAGCGTGGCTACGGTGCCATTCACCGTAGTCGGTCGCAATGCAGGCAGTGCGTTCTGGCCAGAATCGGACCAGAGCGCACTGCTTATGGTGTGAACTAACCCTAAGCCCTGCGTCCAGTAGACATGTGCGATTCGTTTTGGAAAAAATAGTTTTCCAGACGAAATTTGTTAGCGGTAGTCTGTACGCATTTTCGTTTGTGGACGAATTTTCATTGCAGCAAAGTGACAATTTAAAAAAAAACAATTTTACGTCATTTTGCTGCAATGCAACCAATGATACGAACATGAAACGGAAATGAACATTCGTACTGACTACCGCTAACGAAATTTGTCCAAGACAAATTGTGCGGGGGAGACAGGGCGGTGCGGGGGGGGCCCGGCCTAAAGCTGTGTAAGGGGCCCCAAAATTTCTGAAGGCTGCCCTGCTGCCTGCCCATGGCCTTGGCTTGTTTCCTGGACTTTGCTCTTGCCTTCTGATTTGGTACCTTGCTGCCCGGCTTGCTCTGACCCTTGGCTTTCTGGACCACGATTCCTGTCTCCTGAATCTTTTCCCACGCTTCCCGCCCGGTTTTGACCTTTGGCCTGCTGACTTCGCTACCAGACGTCTACTGCATGGTCTCTGCTTCCATCCGTGACACTCGTGCTCCTCACTGTAGTGCAGCCTTCTGTTCTAACCCCAGGGGTTGCAGGACACGAGCCGCAAAAGTAGCCTCCTCATCTTCCGGTCTCTGCCTCAGGTATGTGATAGCACTGCAGCCACTCACTCAGACCTCAGACACAGCGGCTGTACAAAGTCAGGCAAGGCTCCCCTAAGCTCCTTTTCACCTCTGATGTCACATGACAAAGCCGAGGGAAGGATTTCCCCTCACTGTGCCCTGCTTCTGTATCTAAGGTCTGGTGAGTGGACTTCAGTGGGTGTTTGGTCTGTGCTGGGGCAGGGGAGACGTCTTTACTGGGCAGAGGGAGGTCTGTACTGGAGGCAGAGGGGATATACTTAGTCTGCCACAAAGGATAAACGGATGAACTTTCTTGCATGGCATCAAATATCCATATGTACCTCGTAGCCAGAGATCATGTCATCTTTACCTAGTTTGTTATCTAATGTCATGTCTGAGATCATTATTAAATCAAACAATAAGCAAGTCTGTCTCAAAGCACAGCACTAAAGTTTGTATGTCTATGGTAGAAATAATATATTGTTAAATGACCCATAAAGATGATTATGAAGTTGTGTGTGGTCAGCTGTGATCTCATGTTCATTGTTATTTAGAATAAAGATACTTACTTTGGAACCATTTTGATCAGATTTGAACACAGAGCTTGGATGTACCATGTCCCCATTTCAACATGACGGTATGAAGAGAAGCCATTAACAGTAGACATTCCAATCAAGACATCTGCCTCATTCGGGATCGTTTCAGTGGTTTTAGTGGTTGAAACAGCATCTTCTTCAATTGAATGTGAAGTTTGTGAATTTTTGCCTTGGCACGCTTGTATGAAAAATAACTTTGGTTTTCCAGCCAAGGTTTTACAGCTTTTGGAGAAGAAATTAGACAATATGTCCTGTATATTCACAACTTTACTGTCAGTGCCTAAAATGGCTTGAGATTGCCCATGAGTCAAGATGCAGCAAACAAAGCAGTCTCGGTCAGTGTGGTCCTTCATCTGGAAGTCATTCATGATGGCAAGGATCTGTTCTGCTGTTTGTTCATTGTAAATCTCTACATCAAATCCCAGCCAGGTGAATACACGATTCAAGCAATCTGAAAGATAACAAACATTTAGAAAATTGTGAAAACTGCAGGAAAGGTGCCAAAGGTATGCTTATATTATGCCTTAAATAGTAATTCCACTTTTGTTGAGAAAAAAATCAATCCTCTCTGGGTGATTTGTATAAATTTTAACAAACTTTGTTGCAGTTCCCTACCTGTTGCTGTTCTGAAGAAAAAAAGCTGTTTGTTGCACCATGTCCATTCCAGACTGATTCCAGAATAAGAGGGTCTGCAGGGCCATAGCTAGGGTGAGGAGACTGAGGCGAGTGCCTCGGGCGCAGGTACGGGGGCACAGCCAGGTCTCGGTGCGGCAGGAAGAAGTGGGGCAGTACAGCCTGCAGCTTCTCCTCTGGGTCCCTGCTGCTCTCCCTCCGCCTGTATTCGCAAAGGCAGTGGGATCCGAGGAGAAATGAAGTGTTGAAGCTGACGGGGGGTTAGAGCGGAGGAGGGAGCTGTCACTTTAGGATGGCCGAGCGGTGAGGAGAGAGCCACTCAGCCAGGATATGACAGCCGGCGGCTCTCTCGCTCCTCATCGGCCATCCTGGAGTGAGAGCTCTCCCTTCTCTGCCCTCCCCCCCCCAACACCGGCATCAGTGCTTTACTTCTCCTCGGATCCCTGCTGCCTCTGCCCATACAGGCGGGAGAGAGCAGTGGGGATCCAAAGTGTTTGGAAATAACCGGAGATGCAATCGATAACATAAACCCACCTGCACTCCATACAGCATACAGACCTTAATGGAAGGTTGGTGCTTGAAGTGACAACACGGAGGGCACCGTGTCAGATACTGTCCATAATAGAAGTCACCAGCACTCGATGATATGTGCAAGAAGTAAAGCACTTTTTATTAAATTGTCACATGCGTCATACAGCCAACGTTTCATGGCCGTGCGAAACGTTAGTACCGTATGACGGTATGTGACATTGGGTATTGAATAAACATATCAATACTTTAAAAACCCTTCAAGTGTGTGCCGGTGAATTACTTTTATTTACTATTTGTATCTTAGTGCAGACTTCTGGGAATATCAGTCAGCCAAACACAAAAGCAGGAAGTGACATTTCTAGGGGTGTTCCGTATATCAACTGTGTACAGAACGCCTCCAGTTCATCCTAGTGCAATGATTTTTTTTGACAGATTTACGTCACATGTAAGAAATAAATCCAAACATTACAGTGGTTACAGTTTTAAATGGAAAGGTAATTTCTAATAACTGTAAATTACACAAATGGATTGTGCAACAAATATATACTGTATGCTATATTATTTTTTAAGATTTTTTTTTTCCTTTTTATTAAGGAGAAGTTACCATTTATTGCTATAATCCAGTGGTGAAACTACTGCCGGTGGTGCCGGGGCCTGAGGCTGTGGGGGGGCCCAGTGGGGTTCAGTCCTGGGTACCCCCACAGCCTCAGTGGGGTCTGGTCCTGCAATATGGGGCAGTGCACGGTCCCGGTGTTCGAACACCAGGGCCCCGCACTGCCGATGGGCTTCTCAGTGAGAGGGTGGGTCCTGAGACTCCCCTCCCGGCCGCTGTACTACTTTTTCATGTAATTACACACAAGTGGATTATAATGGGGAATATTACACTGTAATGTTCCCTGTTATAATCTATTTATCTGATTAAATGATCACAGATAGGCCTCTGTACTATCAAAGTTTGAGACTACGTTAGAATGTGTGACCAGTGACGTAACCTCACCCAGTTTTTCAGCGGTGGAATAGGTGAAGCATTCCAACGCTTTCTCCGCTGTTCCAGGGCAGATCGGCATTGCAAATCGCATGTCCAGGAGAACCAGTCTGCCCTGAAACAGCTGATCGGTCCTGAAATGTCACTTCTATCCTAGTTTGTGAGTGCGGTGAAATGTGAGATCGCAGTCGGAGCAGCTGGGAAAGTGCTGGAATGCTTCACCTATTGGCGGTCACACATTCCACCGCCAAAAAACTGGGCGGGATTACGTTAAAACGTGTGACCACGTCACCGGTCATACATTCTAATGTAGTCACAACCTTTGATAGAACACCGCCATCAGGGGGGTATGGCCTGGGTCCCAGGTGCTGTGTCTGGACAGGTCTGCAGAGATGCACACACACTGATCCATTACAATGACAACCTCCCTCTCCTGAAGAAGCGCCCCATAGCGCAAAACGTTGAGAGAAAACTAGGCTCGTCCGCTGTTAAACCTTCGATAACGCTGTATCATGTCAGATTACCAACAATCATGTTTCTGTTAAGTCAGACTATCAAATCATGTTAATTATGTCTAATCATGGCTTTCTACCATCATGCCTTGTAATTTTATCAATTATGTTATTCATATATGTATGAAGGACAGAACAGAAATGGAGTGAGCTTTTCAGGGAGGTATATAATCATGTTGTCATTTTTTACATAATCAATTTAATAATTTTATTAATTTGATACGAATAAATAGTATATTTTTATAAATGTATTGGTCTGGAAGTTGTCATTTAGATGCCTACAAAACCCCAGCTTTCCTCCTCTTTTTTTTTTCTAAACAATTGCCCTTTAGGGGTGTGGCATCCACTGCACAGATCCAGGTCACCTAATTTTGAACTCTGCAAGAAAACAAATTGCCTTGTCTCAGTGGCGTCACAAGGGGGGTGCGGCCCGTACTCGGGTGACACCATTAGAGAGGTGAAATACAGGTGAAACTTGCTGCACTCCTTACCAGTTAAAAAATCATGTGAAATCCAGGCGGATGCTTGTAGTGACCACGGGCGGGACCGTACACTATCTATACAATACATCCAAGAACGTCCCTAGCACACCAATAAGGCTTAGGAATGACAACGGTTCTCATTCCTAAGCCTGATGAAGGGGACCCAGTACGGCCCCAAAAGCGCTTGCACTTCGATGGCGATTGTCCTTAAATGGACTAATTAACTTTATTATTGGTGTGCTGGTGACGTTCTTGGAACCATTGAAGGGGTGACACCAAAATGACTGACAGTCATTTTGGTGTCACCCCCTCTGAAAAGTCGGGCACTCGGTCATGGACCGAGAGCCTGACAGTTTCAGGAGAGAGGAGGGGACCCGGGAGCATACCTTATCCCGCTGGGTGAACATCCCCTCCTCTCTCCGTCAATGTCCATCACCAATATGGCCGCCGACAGGTATCAATTAAGATGGCCACGCATGCACGTGACGTCACGGCGGGGTGTCACCCGGTATCCGCTCTTGGTGACACAAGGGGCCTTGGGACCCCCCTGCCCTGTCTAATAGTATGTGTTAAAAACAGAGGTTTTAGTTGCACAACTTTTGTAAAATATGTGGAAGCCACACTGCCCCATCAAGGCTCCTCCGTGAAGAGTGGTACTAACTAAGTTTTGCGAGTCTCCATGTTGGAGCATATTTAAGCAGTAGATAAATTGATTGCAGGTATGCCTGGAGGGAGCCCCCTCCTCCATAAAGGCACAGGGATGCACTGGAGGCCCAGCAATCCAAAATGCACGCTGGGGCCCCCAGTGCGTCTCCACACCAAAAACAGCCAAGCTAAAGATACATGGCAACCACACAATTTATTACTGGCCTTTGTACCAAGGTGCACATGAAAGGGCTTACAGCAATACAAAACACAGAAGTTTCCCAGCACACTTACCTGCCAGCCTGCAACAAAACAAATTGCACTGTCTAACAGTATGCATTAAGGCCTCGTTCACACCAGATGTAGTGCGTTACGGCCCGATTCTGGCCAGAACGCACTGCATCGCATTGAGGCCGGCTCACTATGTAGTGGGGCAGGAGGGGGCATGGCGGTCCATTGAAGTGAATGGCACTGTAGCCACGCCCTCTGGCCGCAATGTGATCGGCAGCACAGGATCGCAAGGCACATTATGCCTGCGCTCCGGTCCACACAAAATGCTGCAAGCACTATTTTGATCGGACCGGAAAAGATCTGAGACCTCATGCAAGAGGGAAACCCATAACATCCAGAGCTGCATAAGACAATATACAGACGCATATCCATCTACCTTTTACAGTATTATTAATGACCCAACTAGTAGATATTGAGCACCGTCTACCAACGTCACATGTAAGAAATGTATCCAAACATAAAAAAGAAAAAGATAAGAAAATAAATCAGGAGAACCTGGCTACTTATTCATAGCACATGGATGAATAACCAAACATCATTACTAATGTAAGTCAGGGTAGACATAGAGGAGCACAAGGAAAAGGAAGAGCTAGGAGAAAAAAAGATATGGACTATAAGCTCAAGAAAGAGGAATGAGAACAGTGAGATACCTGAGTCGCCCCTGGCACCCCTAGTAAGGAAGGTCCATCCCTGCCAGGTAGGAAAAGGCACGAATGGACTCATACAGTCAACCGGACAGGAGGTCAGTGTAGTGATCAGAGTGCTGAAAATAAATCCAAGGTCCCCATGTAGACAAAAATGTAACTTCTGTGTCTCTGAGGGTAGCCGTCAAGTTTTCCAGGGCATATACTTCACGTACCTTAGAAAGCCATAGCGAAATGGTAGGGGGACATGTTTGTTTCCATATCAAGGGGATACATGCTCTGGCCGCATCCAATAAGTGACGTGTGAGTGCCAGTAGATTGAGAGCGAAGTTGCGGACGTGTGTAAGAAATATGCCGCCGGATTGTTTCTGAGATCCGTCAAGGGTTTCAACTTCGGGCAGGACCAAAAGATGTGCAACAATGTACCTTAGTCTGAACCGCATCTCCAGCACCGGTCAGGAATAGCGGGTCTCATTTTATGCAGGAGCCAGGGGACCCTGTTCCACAGAGCCAATATCTTGTATCCCATCTCCTGGACTTTGCTGGCAACGGACAACTTATAAGACATAGTGACAATGGTGCGAGCCTGTTGTTCCATCAAGGTGAGCCCCAGTTCTTTTTCCCAGCTCTGTAAGAACAATGGATATGCATCCGTGGAGGGAGCAATTAGCAATTTATATATGGTAGAGATGGCATGTTGAGGGGGTAGCCTGCCTCTGCACATGCCT